TGTCTATACACAGCTGTGTGAAACTTACTCTTCCTAGAGCTAGGGCTTTGCTGTACACTACCCTTCGTGTACTTCTCCCTCGCTCTGTACGGAAAGCGTGTTGTGGTAGGAGTTCAACCTGTACGGAAAAACTCACTGCTCTGTGTCCACAACTTTTCTTTTCTCCAACTCCTTAGTTCTTTGAACTTCCTTCTTTCTTTGAACTTCTTTCCTTTCATCATCCTTCCTTTGAACTTTCTTAAGGGTCTGGTAGTTGAGGAGGATCACAAACTAAACACGGTCTGTAGTTCAACCTTTGGTGCAATTCCATCGTATACTCTGCAACTCTTTTTGCAGCCATCAAACTTCCACATCCTTGCCTATGATATCTCCGACCTGAGATCACAGCATACTCCAGTCTGACCCTCATCCTCACTCCTTGAGGTTGATGCACTGGTGGTACTGGAGGTTGTTCTTGCCTTTGCTGCTGAGCTGGTATACGAACATTTTGATGCAACCACTCATTTAACCGGTCTTGCACGTCTTGCGGTACTGGTCCAGGATCTGGATCTCCTTCTGGTTCATTATTGACCACCTGATGGTCATTGCCCCGCCTGGGCAATTGCTCATCTTCTTGTACTTGATCTTCTTCTCTTGCTTGTTCTTCCTCCTCTTGAGCTTCATGCTCTCCTTGCTCTTCCTCTTCATCCTCATTCTCTTCCACAGTCGGAGTCCCATACTCTGATGGAGATTGAGCTCCATCTGGCTCTTGCTCTGGTTCCTGCACAACGTTAGTTGCTGGCTTCCTTCTCCAATCATAGATGCTCACAAACTGCAGGTAGAGAACCATCAGCATTAGGAGCGTGACAACAAACATCCACATGCTTGCCGCTTCAACGTAGACGTAAGTCTCCCTGATAAACTCTCGGGGTTGTCCTCTGGATCCCATAACCATCTGAACCAAGCACGTAGTGAACAACAAACGACTGTTCTTAGTTGTCCTTCCAACTTGCTTCAACCTTTTGATTTGCTGGTTCAGAGCCACTGATGACAGGTGATCTGCCATCTCCTCTGCTCCAACTGGAACTTCTCTCCCTCTTTCCTTGGTCATTGCTCCAAGTAGGAACAACAAAAACTTTCGCCTTTGAACACTCATCTTCTTAGTGTTCAGATCCGCAATGTTGAGCTTTGTAGGAATTGGCTTGACCTTGAACATCTTCCTCTTTACTCCTCTTTGTAACCACAGAACCCTAAGGTCTATGTGCTTTAGTCCTCCAACTCCGCTTCTGAGACACCATTGTCTTCCTGAGCTGCTGTCACTCCTGACTTCCATATCCACTTCTTCCCTTGTGAGGAATGCCAAGAGCTTCTTCAGTAGCGTGCCTTCGCTGGCCGCTCCACTGGTCGCCAAGACTTCTGACTCGCAGCTTGACAAAGCGGTGGACTTTTGAGTCCTCGAATAACTCATGACCGGTACTCCATCTGCGCATATGATGCTCGCACTTGTTGAGTACCTAGCTTCCTTTCCTGAAGCCCAATCTGCATCTGCAAAAACTTCAAGGACATGCTTTCTTTTCTCTTCTTCTTCTCCTTCTTCTTTATCCTTTGCTTCAAGTTCTTCACCTTGAGGTAGCCGATACAAAACTTCCATCATCGTTGCTCTCTTGCCGCTATACCTAAGGAGAAAACAGAGGCTCTCAGTTCCTCTAACGTACAACAACGTCTGCTGCAAGCACTTCACTGCCATCTCCGTAGGCTTGGCCATGTAAGAGGCCAAACACTTCACACTGTGTTGAAGGTCCCATCGGTCTTGGGCAACATACAGCAATGTTCCCAGAGCTGACCTGAACCTCTTAGCTTCTTCAGGCGCCAACTCCTTTGTCTCCTTTGTCTCGTCTCGACTTCCCAGTAGTTGGTGTTCTGGGGTCATCTTCTCTTTCCTGTTCCCCAGGTCGTAGAGGCTTCTCAGCTTCTCATAGCGCTTCTTTGACACTGAGACCAAAATTCCTTCATCTACAAATTCGTAGGTCCGCTTGAGGTAGTGTAGTTGTTCTCTTGACCCTCGCTCACTAGGAAACGGTCCCTCGATTGTCAACTTGAAAACTTTCTTGAGCTCGCTGACTAGCCACCTTGACTGTCCTTTCTTTCCTGCTACCAGCTCGTCATCCACATGAACTGAAACCGCGACTGGTCTCACCTTGTGCCTGAGCACTGAGGGAATGCCTTTGAAGGCTTCAAATCCCAACCTTTCAAGAATCGCACACAGGTGTGAAAACCATTGTTCTGCCGCTGCTCTTTGACCTGGCAAGCACTTTTCAACTTTCCACACACAATCCTCATCCAGGCCTAGCAGCTTCTTGATCCACGGTGAAATCTCAGCGTACATGAGTACCTTCTGGCTCACCTGGAGGAACGCATCCTTGATATCCAGACTGGTGAGCTCCCATCCAAAGATCAAATGCAACGCGATCATCATCCTAACTGCTGCATGGCCGGTGGTCGGACTGAAGGTTTCCTCATTGCTTGCGGCTCCTGCCCTGAACTCTCGGCAGACAATCCTACATCTCCTTTTCCATTCTCTGTCTCTCTTTCTCCAATCAAACACGGTTGTCAACGTCAGGAACTTACCTGACTGGTCGCATTCCTGCTTTCTTACTTCCTTGACAACCTGCATGCTTCTCAACTTGTTAAGCTCATCCTTGGCCGCAACTTGATCTCTTTCCTCTAGTTCTTCTTCTGAGACTTTTGGAGGCATATCTTCTTCATCTTCTATGCCTTCATCTTCTTCTTCTATCCAATCCTCTTCCTTGAGAATTGAATCTTCCCAAAGCTCATCCTCGTGGTAACCTTCATCGTCATCTTGATAATCTTGATCCTCTTGCGACACCTTTCCTGCAAACTTAGGCGGAAACAAACTTGCACTCGGTGATGGTGGTCCGCTTCCGGAATCTGACCTGATTGCCTTTCTCATTGGTTCTCCTATGGGCGCCTCTGCGTCCATCTTACTCTCTTTCGCAGGTCTATCTTCAATCTCTCCTTGCCTCCTTTCCTTCTGAAGGTGCTGAAGGCGCGTTGGATGAACTGCTTGTGCTGCTGGCATCCATTAACATTGCAGCTCGTCTTGTTGGTTTCCATTTTCCACCTGGGGAGGTTCTTCCCTAATCCTTGGAAGCGGTGCCAAATGCCCCGCCTTGACCTTTGGTCCTTTGCTGCTCCAGGGTGAACCTGTAAGCGATAGCACTTCATCCTTCCTCCATGCCGGTTGCGTTCTTCGCACTGACCTAGAGGTGAACACTGCTTCCTTAGTGGCAATGATTTCCATGTCTTTGACATCCTTGCCAACCCAAATTCCACCTGTCCACAGACTTCTGTTCTTAACTCCGTCTGGACGCATTAGCCCAAACACATACTCCCCAAATGGGAGAATTCTGCCTGTATAGGGCCTGCCAAAAGCAAGCTGATGGGCCGTACTTTGTGTCTCTCCATGCAGGTGATACCTGTTGTACAACCATGACGCATGATGAATAGCCCATGCTCTCAACACGTGGTCCTCTGGAATTCTTTCTTCTATCTTACTTTCCACCATCTCAACCAGAGTTAGGCACTGTCTTCTTAGATTCTGGATGTGCCTTTCCACACGTGCTGTCCTGCCTTTATGATATGGCTTGCCTTCACGCACTGTGGCCTTGTAGCCCATCTTGCGCCGGATTGCCACAACCATGTCAAGGAGTGCCTTAGTAGCCGGCTCCACGTCCATAGCGAAATGGACGTTCTCCTGCACATAGTTCAAGTGCAAACTGAACTTGACAACTGCTTCTGCCAGTTTCTTGCTCACTGTCTTGCCTTGCAATGGCAATGCTTGAGCATACCTTGTCCAGGAATCCAGGATAACTAAGGTTGCACACGGTTGGCCCATGAACATGTAGTCCATTTGAACGCAAGGCTCACCTGGATCTTCGTACTTCACATCTCCATAGGTTGGCGCATGGTCTTGTTTCGATTTAGCCGCCAAACAAAATTCACACCATGGCTTCATTGGCAAATGTGTGGCCATGTGTTCCTCAACTTCCTCCTTCGTGGGCTCTTCACATCCCGGCCTTACTTTCACACCTCGCTTTGGCTTTGCCAATCTTTCTGCTATCTCCGTCACTTCATCTTCCCTGCTGTCCTTCGTAAAATGAAAGATCTTCAGAAATAGTTTCTTCTTTCCTCCACTGGGACTGAGTCCTAGCTTCACACAAACTTCTCTGAGTTTGTATATTCCGCTTTGCTCTGAGATGGTCTCTCCGTCAACCGTGAGAGTCATGCCAGATTCATATTCCATGTTGGAATGACCTCCTGCCACTCCTTCTGATCTCACTATCCCCTTTGGAACTTGAATGTCCAATTCTCTTGGAACACTTGGCTCTACCTCTCTAAACGGCTCTAGAAACTCTTCTTCCCTTTGCATTTCCTCCTCCATTTCCTCATCTTCACTTGGCGTGGCTTCAACTTCTTTCTTAAGTTCTTCACACAAACATTGATCCAAGCTATCAACTTTCCGGTGTGCAAAGGTGATCATTGTCGTAGCGAATAGGAGACCTGTCATCTTGAACTCGTCGCTAACCTTCTCTGACATTTCTATCACTTCCCAATCGTCACCCCCCATGCGGGCAATGGTCGTTCGATACTTCCACTCTTTAGTTGGTAAGTCCTGGAACTCTGTGCTTTGACACACATGCACCGGTGTGCCATTCTCCAGAAAATTCCATTGGTTCTTTTTCAACTTCTCCCAGCTGAAGAGCAATTTAACCATAGTGGCTCTTACTTTCTGAACGCTTCTCACTTCCGCAGTCACCATCAAGCTGTTCTTGTGAAACTCCCCTGGAATCACTGCTTTACCGTCTGGCGATATCAGGCCCCCTGCCTTTCCATTGTTGTTGTTGTTGCCCCCACTGGGCACCCAGGAACCCCAGGTTCCTTGTGACTGAAACTTCCAGCCATTTCTCATCAATCTCCCTAGTGACAACAGAATGCGAGAGGAATCTGAAAGAATGAAATCCTCTTCAATCACACAACCACTATCAGCGAAGTAAAGCTGGGCTCGTCGCATACCTTGGACACGCATGGTCCCACCTTGCACATCATGAATGCGGAGGGTTCTTGGCGGTTCAACTTCATAACCACATTCTGCCAAACCCTGTGGCAGAAGACTGACATCTGCACCTGAATCAAGGATGACAGAGTGCAATCTTGCGTCCAACGCTTGTACCATCCTAACCGCCATGAGCTCATCTTCTTGCTCCATCTTGATATACCACTCATAAAGAGGGTCACTCTTCCAATCCTGAACTTCCTCATCAGAATCGTCCTCCCATATCATATAGTGCCTTCTTGGGCTCTCCGCATATTCTTCTGAACCTTCTGCATGTGACATGTTGATGCAATAAACACCAATCCTTCTTACATACCAACCTTCCAAACTTTCTTGATCTTCTTCTTCATCACTTCCAACATAGTGAATCTCCAGCTCAGATGGAGGGGTCACTGGCATGTGATAGAAACTCGGTCTCATCATCTCACCAACTCTTCTAACTCGGTATTGAGACGCTGACTGAGAGGGCGCAATAGTCAGGGTAGCCATGCTCTCCGAGGGTGCCTGAGTGGTGACCTCTGATCGTGACACTTCTCTCACATTCCGCCGGTTGGGACATTCATTCCCCCAATGTCCTGACTGCTTGCAAAACCTACACACGTCTCGACCAAGCTTTGCTTTGCCACCTTTGTCTTTTCCACCTTTCTTTCCTCCTGACTTTCCACCTTTACCTTTACTTCCTTTCTTTCCACCTTTGTGTCCAAACCTTTTTCCTTTGCTCTTTCCATGTCCTTTATGTCCTTTTCCTCTACCATAACCTCTGCCAAAGGCTTTTCCCGCTGCATAGCTTGACCACGTTCCCCAATAACCTTTTCCTCTTCCTCCTTTGTGTCCTTTTCCTTTGTGGTCTTTTCCTGATGTGACCTGATCGACCTCCACTGGGGCTGGTCCTTGATCTGAACTTGTTGCTCCACCACTTGCTGTAGTGACCGGCAAAGCGTTCTGTTTCAACACGGTGTTGTAATCCCAAGTTTTGCTGGCCTTTTCATAGTTCAGAATAGCTTGCTTAACTGACCCATAGTTGGCTGAGCTTGGCAAACTGACTGTGAGGTGCTCTCGAATTGTCTTTGGTGCACAACGTAGTAAAACTCCCATGAGAAGGTCACGGTCA